AATAGCCTATAAACCACCAAGACCTGTAATTATAATATCTCATTTGATAGCCACACCTGCAGCATAATTATATCTCAGTTTAACCACAAGTCAAGGGGACAGGGGGCACCAGGAGATACACGCGAGGAAGCGACACTCCCTCCCACACCAACTCCCCAGTGATGTCTGAAGGTTCACGCGCTGGTCACTGGGCTCGGTCCTCTGGTCTGGGGTCTCTGCAATGCCACCATTGGGCTGTTCCCTAGGACTGACACAGATACTCTGACACCTACATGAATAACAAGTCTTGAAGACAGGCAATTTTTAGGAAAAGTTGAGATAGCAGATTGGCATGGAAATACTCTCACATACATAAAGGAAATGGCCCATGTTAACTATCCATTCCTGTTACTGATGGGGGACCCAAGGCTCATCATATGGGTAACAGAAAGTGACTCTTTAAAATGGTTATCCTCATATTGGTTTTTTTCCCACAGTAAAGGAAATGGTCATTCAAAATCAAATTACGTTTTCCACTTTCTGTCTTGCATCATTAGTACTCTTCTTTTTTCTTCTCTACTTCCACTTCTCCATAAAGTGATGGAAGTAAAGGAGTAAAGTCCAAGCTGCCACACTAAAATCAAATTAAGACTTTTATTTATTTTGCTGACATACTTTGAATGAAGCACAAGATTTTTTATTTCACTCATTGACTTTAAACACAGATTTTTATTTTAGGGAGTGCAAAACCATTCCCCTTCTTTAGAAATCCCTTTTCCAATGTAACAAATTCCAGAAACCTATACTGAAGATAACAAAGGAAGTATATGTTAAACCATGCTATTTTTATATAGTGATGCACAGGATTCTTTGTGCAGGCACATATGATAGCTCATGTTTCTCACCAAGTGATTCCTGAAGGGTGAAAAGATGTTTTTGCACAGGACTGAAATGCAGAGGAGTAAGAAAGAGTTTCTAAGCACTGCTGTTTCTGAGGCACTGAAATTACACAATTTCTGTAAATTCAAAGCAAGAATGGATTAACTTCCTGTGCAAATATGGCTGTGCAGCTCTGGCCATGTGATGGAGAGATTTTCTACCCCTACACATCAGTGTATCAGAAAACATTAATAAAGTCTTTTTTTGAAGCAGACCCTTAAGTCGATGCCTATTTTTGGTAGTGGCTCCTGTGCAGGGTCACTATTTCTTATGACAGGGGATGTTTCTCAACATCTTGGGTTTTATTCTTTATTTTTAGCACAGAACCAATATATATACTGTATTGATAAATATAGTGAAGAAATCAGTTTCTAAGCATTAAAAATGTAAAAGTCAGCAGCTGCCTTCCTACTGAATGAAGAAAGACGCAATACTTTTACAAATAGAAGGCAAAACATTTATGGAAGTTATTATGTGATACCCTAACTACAAGTGCAGTCACCTAAAAATTCCATGTTCCTAAAGAGAGAAATTCTGTGTGAATGAAGAGGTAAAAAATTGTCGGTCACAAATAAGAAGGTGTTGGAGGAAGCAATAGTGCTTCTTCCACAGACTGAAGCATGTCAGTGTTCATGAG